TAATTAAGTTCTATCTAACCTTAATAAAATAATAAAAAATAATACTTAAAGATGTTTTTCTCTCATTATCCCAAATCTCCATATGGCTTGATCTTCCTTGGATTTCCAAATTAAGTAGAATTTCGCCTCCAATTTTATATTTTAACCATATGTCCTAATTTGTAGAAGTCCTTTGCTGCTAGAATTAAAGGAAAATTAAGAAAAGGGGAGAAAAGAGTCTAAATAGGACTCACCATGTGGCTGTCAGCTTGGTCGTGCTAGTAGCGTACGAGTGACATGTGAAAGCTTCCTCGCGCATGTGCGTGCAACTCTCATGCACATTCTGAGAGCTTCTTTACGAGGGCAAAAATCTTGCATGTGCAAGTGTTTGATCTCGCATGTGTGTACGCCCATACATATGCACCCGATGGGTACCCATACCTAAACTATTTTTTAGGTTTTCACTTAGGGCGGGATCTGTGGGTCGAGCCTTTCATAGGCTGTGAGGCAAATAATTCCTCATCTCCCCTCTTTTCTTATTTTCCCTCCTCTTAAACTAATGTTCAAGCCCATTTAACTCTTTCTAGACTCCTGACTCACTTTCCTTCTAATGTTGAACTTGGATTTATGTAGATCCTATTTGAGTGCTTTCAATTCGGGAGTACTTCTTAACATGTCTTAATAGCACATTATTGCATGATCGTTTTTGCTCATTTATCGCAATACCCCCATGGAAATATCCCTCCATGTGTAATATGAGTAAAGGGTGGGAAACTCACGGGAATCGAGCTTAAAGAATCTAATTTTATTTTTGAAGTGTCCTTTTAGGACTAAGAATTACGGCAACATGAATGTTGGAGTCAAATTCTAAAGTCAAATAGGATTTTTCTACTTCAAGAAATTAATTAAATAAAGAGAGTTGGAATCATAAAAGATGAAAGAAACTCAAATGAGGAAGAATTCCTATACCTAGCCAAATTCCAATACTTAATTTTTTCATGGATAATGATGGACTTTATCTTAAATTTTTTTCTAGATTTTTTCCTAGATTTTCTCATGGAAGAGAAATTATTTTATTCTTCAACTTGGAAGCTTTTAAGGCATATTCAACTCAACTTCTTAAGCAACAATTAATTAAATATTGAAATCCAAATCCAAGTAAAATAAAGTATGGAGAATTCGACCACAACCCCACTGTTTTTCAAGAGAAAAGACTTTTATATTTTAATTATGTTTATACTTCTTTAAATTAATATTTTATTAAAATCCTATATAAGAATGTAATTATAGTTTTTTTTTTTAAGGATTTAGCTTTTGAATATAGTAGAGTTAGTAAAGTTTATGCCTATATAAAGAGTTTACTCCTTTGGTTATAAACATCAAAGTGTGAGATCAATAAAATTAAGATTTTAGCTTTATTTAGTCATTGGCTAAGTTGCTCTTCAGGAATGTTTCTTCAACATTCTTGTTGAGTAGGGAATTGAAGTTTACTTATTAGGGTAACTTGTGGCGTTTTTATCTATCTCTTTTTTGGGTTAATTTTAACTTATCAAGATATTTCTTGTGGCATTCTAATCAATTCAATTTATTCAAATTACCTTAATTCTCAATCACAGGTTAATTGTGAGTTAAGTAAAGAGATTTTATTTAGGGATCTAAGTTTCTGTATGTTAATGTTATATGTGGGATTTTGGATTATAATGTGTTGATCCTGAGTTCTTCATCAACATGAGTTTCCTACTTGTCACAAGGTTTCCCCTAAGTTATTATCACATCACTAGGATCACATCATATTCTTTTTTTTCAAAAAGATTTATCCTCGAATCTGTTATCTCATCATCATTGTATTCTTACGAGAAAAAAGAATTTTAAAAAAGGTGAAAATAATTTGGTTGATATTGTGGTATATTGGAGCACTTTCTTATTTAAAATTATGTTAGTGTTTTAGTCTTTGGACCCATCTTCCCCTCATTGTCACTCGTGTTTACCTCACAACACTCAAGCTTCACCCCTCAAGTTGAGCATTGGGAATTTGAACCTTATTGAATTGAGTCCTACACATTAGAAATAATTTGCAAGAAATACTAGTAAATCTTGACTCTAAAAGCACACACGAATGAAGAGATGCGATGCTTTACTTAATGCTTAATGGATGCAATGTGAAGCAATGGTTTTCACACACGTTTATAGGTGGTTAATCTTATTTGCTCATGCAATGCGAAAACAAAGGTTTTTATGCACACCTAGTAGGTGAGGTAATCTTCCTTTGAAATATAAAGATTTTCATCACACTAGTAGGCGATTAATCTTTCTTCGTTTGTAAATGTAATAAAATGCTTCCCTAATTGCCTTATGATGTGCAATTAGTTTATTTTGATTTTGATTTTCTATTTTTTTTGGACTAATTTAACAAACAAACTTCAATTAAAAGAACAAATTGGATAAAATCAAGTGGGAGGCAATACAATGAATTAAAAATAAAGTGTTTTAATTGTTAATTATGCAAGAATAATATTGAAAGCAATTTAAGATAGTAGATTAATAAGTTCCTAAACTCTAATACTAAATGATGTAGAGAACTCTAGGATCAAAGTACATTGATCATGAACCTCACAATACTTAGTATGAAGAAACTCAATTCACTAAATTAAACCCTCTCTACTTGAATCACAATCAACAATTTGAAAGCACCTCAAAGTAACTAGAAAAATAAAAATAAGGAATAGACAAGACGTCACGACTTACATGATAAATTAATTCAGACTTCCTGACTCAACAAGATGGTTGAAACAACCTCCCTTGAAGAACAATCATTCTAAAAAATTAGCAAAGTTAATTTAAAAACATACTGAATAATTTTATTGATCTTGAAAGTTATGAATTACAACCTAAAGTGAGGTCTTTATATAAGCTTTCACTGGGTAGTTCTAAATAAATACAATCACTCATATTTAATTGAAACTCAACCTAAAATCTAGACTTAACTTAATCTTAATCCTAATCTTAAAATAATATTTAAATATTCCTAAAGATCAAATTAAGTAATAAGATAATATTTAAACGACTAATATTTAAATTGGATAGTGTTCCCTCCTCTTTAGCCGAATGTAGACTCTTTCGTACTCTTTGATTGTCTAGAGTTAATTGTCTTTTAATTAAATAATTAATTTGAAGTAGACTTAATGAAGAATGTAAAATTGGAACTTGATTCCATGTGGAGATTTAGCTAAGGCCAAATTCTTCCTTGGCAAAAACTAGTCTCTTCCTATATTCATTTCTTTCCTCTTGAAGACTTGTTCTTGAACATGAATTCTTATACATAATTCATTTAGGACTCATGTAGCTGAAAACAAATTAAAACAAAAAAGTGTGAGGAAAATAGATGGAAGCCCTTGCAGGGAGGACTCCTTAGGCGGGTAAAAGTCTTCAAGTTGTAGGATGACTCTTTCCTTGCAGATTTCTCTTCCCATGGACATCACTTGCACTGGGAATCTTTTATATATCAAATTTTGTTGTATTCTTCTTCTTCTCATCAAACTATAGCTCTTGAGTTCAAAAAGTACTCTACCTGACTTGGAGAGGAGTGGGAATCAATGAGGAATCTTCCTCACACGTGGGAGTTTCTTGTATGTACAGGCTCTCCTTCTCATGCATGTGCATGCTCGCACATGCGGGCAAAGCCTCTTATATGCATGTTTGCCTTGGCTGAGAGGCCCCTTGGCCAAGAGGCCTTAGGCTTGCATCCTTGTGGATTGTTAAGGCTTTTTCCCCATAGGCTCTTTTTTGAGCTCACGGGTTGGGCTTCCTAGAGGGCTCTTGAATTGACTTTTTGGAACTAGGCCCAAATCCACTAGAAGACTGTCCTTTCTTCTTTAGAATGATTTAGGAAATTGTCCTTATTGGAATTAGTTTCATGTTTTGTCTTAAAGTCACAGTGATCTTTGTAAACATCATCCTTCAGTAGACTTTTCTTGGAAAACTTCATGCGGCACACTGAGTGTGCTGTTAATTACCCTTGTCTTGCAAGTAATTGTCTTACAAGAATCTCGAATACTGTAGGTCTCCTGTCGCTTGCGAGATTTCTTCTTCGGGATTAATTTGGTCATTCTCAAGATCACATTA